AAAACTAAAAAAATAAATAAATATTAAAATTCTCTCTCTCTCTCTCAAAAAAAAAAAAAAAAATAGGGGAAATAGAAAAAACTAATTTGATCGACCCTTCTCCCTCAAACAACAACAAAAAAAAATCTAATAACATTTGCTGACTATTTGCTGCTTCTAGCTAACTTTCCCTACCTTAAAGAAATCTTTATTTGCATTAACCTCAATATTTTATAATGCTTTGATCAAACAAGATCTTACATTTGACTTACATTAAGGAAGAATTTCAAGGATTATTTGGGGGAAAATGTGGTATATCTCAAAATATTATTCAATAGGCCATAAGATGCCAACTGCAAGCTGCAACTGGCGCTATCAATTGTGCTCCTGCAGAGGGAGTCCTGAAACTAGGGCTGACAGAAGCTGATGTCAACCCAAGATAAATCCCACAAATCTGCTGTATAAATTCATGTCAACTCACAGTGAAAGTTTGAATGTTGGCAAGTATCAGTATTTGGAGACCTTGATATTCCTACACAGGCACCAAATCACCACTTTGTAAGGGTCAGTAAATTCCAACATCAGGGAAAAAGGCTCATTCGTATGCTTTCTGCCTAACTATATGTATGCCAACAGTGATAATGGTACTATGTTCTAACAATGTGCCTTTCCAGACAATTTGTGTGTGTTATGTATGAGATACAAGTTCACAGAAAATAATCAAGCAAACCTGAGCAAGCTCACATTCCTTCATTCTTGCTATAACCACACTTAAAAACACTGATCACAGATGAAAGTCTGCTAAACAAACACCTACAGCATGGAACTATGTGTAAAGGGCATAATTAATAAGATTACCCTATTAGAATACAGTGATTTCTGGGGTCATAAGTGTACCCTATTTAAAATCTAAGTCTTCAAATTTTAAAAGTTCAGGTTGCAACGGTAACTGTAAAAACAACGAAGAAAGTCTGGTCTCAGGACCAAAACAGGAAAAATGAAAAAGCTAAAACAATGCCCTATTCACAAACAGGCACTTGGTAAACTTATTTTATTGCACTTAGTCAAGGATACAGATCCCAAAGCTAAAACACAAATACCTCTCATCCCTGATGCTTCTTTTACTGTATGACTCATTTAACACAGATTCACAACCATACCCGCTGCATCCTTCATTTCCAAAGATTTCCACTAAGGGACCATAACTCTTCCTAAGTCACATGACCTCATACTATGCCTCACCTACCCTGTGGTAACCAACACATCAAAGAATTTCTAAAACTGAAATAATTCCAAGGAGCAAGAATGTTTAGAGGAGAAAGCCAGAGAGCTCAAAGGCAGAATAAAAAAGCAAAAAAAAAAAAAAAAAAAATCAGATTCAAGGGATGTTTCATCTAATTACATCATTTACAGCTGAGAACCTCCAATGGCTGTCCCTCCTTAGGCACAGCCTCTAAGCCCTGTCCAGCCTAAAACCCCCAGAACATTCCACTCTCATGATGGTCCCATCATTCTCACATATGTTTCAAACAATATTTTGATTTTCCTTGCATTCATACCTGCTGTTAACCCCACCTTAAATGCTCAGTAAGGTAACAGAAAAAGCAAAAAACTCTGAGGTCTTATTTTCTGAATCTGGACATTGTATCTTTGTGTTTAAGTGCTCTAAAATGTTTCCACATCCAGCAAAAGGAGACCTGGTTTCACATAGGAAGGTTAAATGAGATAATATATGTATGCAAAGTATTCCACTGTGCCTATAATTAAAAAAAAAAAAAGCATTAAACAAGCATTTTTCTGGCTCCCTCTATATCATCTGAACTCATTATTCTTCAATCTCTAATCTAAATACTCTCCTTTCTATAAAACCTTACTTAACCCTGTGTTCTATTTACTGCCATTCCCCTCAAAAAAAAAAAAAAAAAAAAAATCATCCACTCTTCTGTTTCCTCTGGCACTTTAAAGAAATTTCTATTGAATTTTAATTGCTTGTTCATGGGTCTTTCTTCTCCATTAGGGAATGGTCACCTCCACGATGGAATTTTTTTCTAATTATTGCCACCCCTAATCAGATAGAACAGCAATGGAAGCTTTAATTAGCATTTGTTAAATAGATAATGAATCATTCATTAAACTATTACAACTAAAGCCTCTAGGTGACCTTTTAAATATTGTGATAATGTACTACTTTTGCCTTATGAAAAGACCAATTCTAACAAAGTGGTAAGTGGTACCCTACCAGAAGTGGAAATTTGTTAACATTTCTGCTCACTATCCATCCACTTACTCAACAAATGTCTCCAGTGTATCAGGAATATGGGGAAGAAAAGCAGCAAAACTCCCTGTCCCCATGGGCCTTATATTTACCACGATATACTTAGGGAAGAAGTTATCATGGCAAACTTATCTGCAAAAGGTACCAAAACCACAAATTATTACTTGACATTTACCAAGTATCAAAGAGCAAAACCAATCATAAACCCCTGATTACAGATAAAATTTTTAGTTAAAAAAAACATGAATTTAATCCAGACTTAGTGTATTAAACAACCAAAACTTATTTAATGTCCCTCAAAAATGCTCATATTGAGGACCCATTTCCTTGTAGTTAAAAATAATTCTTCTGAGTTCTTATGAGTTTTAAGAATTTCTTATGTACAACCACATGCTTAACAGAGATCCTAATCTGAAGTATTTTATCTAATGTTTTTAATGGGGCCTACTTTAAAGCCTGTTTGTGACCTTATATTATTTTTCGTTTTCTAAATGAAGAGGATTTTAACAAAATTTGGCACCAAGGATTCTACCCTGAGTGGTGTTTTCCAGAAGAACTACAATGGGCCCTACTAGGACTGAATCAGGACCATGTCCCAAGCTGGCCTTGCCTGTTCAGCCTAGGAGCCCAGAGACCACAGAACGAGGGTGTAAGTGACCTCCACAGTTCTTGCACATCCGTATTCCCAACCCTTTAACTGCTTCATCCTTTTTTGTCACTTTCTCCTTGGTCCCTAAGCACCTGTGCTTTCCTTTCAGTATTCATCCCCTTGCTTTGAAGGTCCTTTCCTCACTTCTGCTGTTAAAATACTCCGAGGTGTCAACCTTCCGCCTCCGGGGTAAGGGCTTCTGGTGTCAGCCTGTGAGGACACCCCTGATCTCTGAGCTCATCAGCCATCAGATAACCTCTCTGAAGCAGCTCAGCAAGTTCTTCCTTGCTTTAGTCCCACCCTGCTGCACTTCCAGGGGACTCTGCTCTCCTATTATGTGCACAACATCTGCAAGGGGACCTGATACACTAGAGCAGCTCAATTTTCTTCGTCAGAAAAGAGCAAAGATAATGCTCAAATTTTTATCCAATACTGGAAAGTTTCACTGAGAGATCTCTGCAAAATATCAATTTCAAAATCACAAATAAGATCCAAGTTTACTGACCAAATCTTGCTACCTACAATGTTCTATGACAGAAAAGAAAAAAAAAAAAATCCAGATGTCCCAAGGAGACAATGCTGGGAAAGAATTCTGGTCATCAGACCCTTAAGGCAGGTTAACTGTTGAAGGATTCTGCTGAAGGCTCAGGTAGTTTCCACACAAAGATTTAATCTCAGCCGGAATGAATTTGTTTTGGCCATTTGGAACTTTATAGGACAAATTCACATTTTACTAACAGCCGTGCCCTGCATCACTAGTTAATCCTACAAATGAACAACAAAAAGAAAGTCCTTGATGACAGATTTTAGATACAAAGTGCACGGAGGTGGGTTTTAGGTTCATGGTTCCTGCATGCAGAGTTGAATAAATGACATTGGCTTCCCTTCGGAACCTGAGGAAAAAACGTGAAAAGCACTGACATCAAACAAGAGGTGAAGGAACAGATAAGCAGCAGCCCCAGGTCTAAAGTGCTCTCACCAAGCCGGAGCCACAGGGGAGAAAGACTTCAACAGCACCCTAAGGGAAACAAAACACCAAATCATGAAGTGAAACATTAAAAAAGCATCAGTGGTGTCTTAGAAAAATTACTGGTGAGATTTAAGTCACAACCCTCCTCCCTTTCCCTCAAAAGAGCTTTCTAATAATACTGAGCACATTCCAAATAGCTTCCTTCTGCCAAGAACTTGCCAATTGTACCTCCCCTGCTCAGCAAGCAGGGTGAAAAAAAATCAATGCCTAGGGAACCTTAATCCCTTCATTTTTAAAGTAAATTGCAAACATCCATCTTGCTGGGCATTTATCCACAGGAGTAGCTCCTAAATGAATTTAGGAAGTGAACACGATCTTTAATAGATAATTTGGTTCCCAACTGGAAAGCAGGAGATGCAAAACAAAGAGGAGAATGGGTGAATATATATATATAT